CCCCAAAACCCCAAAACCCCAAAACCCCATTAAGAACATGCCAAATTGAAACATTTTAGGAGTACCTAAACCCACTTTTGCCTCCAAATGGGCACAAATTAGTCTGATAAACCACCTTATTCTTCTCCCCTCAGCTCCTAAAATAGTGATCTGGCCGGCTTACCTCCTTCTATTGCATAAAGATGAACCCTGGAAGGGGGGGCAGCTGGTGTAGGGATCTCTACCAGTGGCTTAAACTTTTCCATGATAAGTCTGTTATTTAAATAATTTTGATGACTTTGGTTAGTAAAAAGGTCCTTCTTTTTGACCATTCCTCAGAAAGTAAGCACGCGATGGTCCCTTTTGTCTAGGGATCTTAGGAGTTTAGACTTTTGGGCCTAAATGAGAGTTAATTTACAAGCCTACTCGGGATTTAGACTTAAGCTCTATGGGAGTAGTGGAAATATCTAGTTTTGGTAAATCACACAGAAAACTAGCATGCTCCTCCTTGGTACATCTCCGAAATTGAGGAATGTTGTTATGAAACCCATTATTCATTTTTGTGTTGTTCAAAGTAGGATATCTAATAGCACTCATCTTGTCAAACTCCTTAAATTGTTTCTGAAACTTTGATTTCCTTCTAAACTTGGTCTTCTTTTGCTTGTTTCATTTCCTAGTAAATCTGCTATATTTCTCTATGAAATGAATGGAATAGTACCCCTCGCTAGCTCAAGTAACTTTCGCTGTTGACTTGTCAAATCGTTAATTGTCTTTTTCTTCCTAGAAGAAGGTTGACTATTCTGGGAATTATTTTGAAACAGAACTTTCACCTTCACAGATTTCGGTAAAAGTATCATACATATCAGCTGCAAAACTCGCATTCGAAGGAATTCCTCTCTTCTTTGGTGACCACATGTTAAAATATTGGCTCTTAAGGCTGATGGAATTAGCAAATCTTCTTCCTGATTTAGGAATGACCATACTATATGTTATAATATCCTACTTACCCAAGTAAAGAATTCTTCTTAATTCTGATAGGCTTAATGACAGAAATCCTTCTATTCGACTTAAATTTCTTCCTATTTCTTCTTCTTTAAAATATTTTGTAATTTTTGGAGCTTAATATTATCATAGTTCCTCTTAATAGCCTTGAGAGTGAGCTTGAACGACTCCTGTTCTTCCTTAAGCACGAAATCAGTGATCTTATTTCCAATAGTTTAGGCTTTGCACATCAAGCGTGAGATTTAGATTAGGGAATTCTTCATTTCCAAATCAAAATCCATATATTTATAGTTCTATAAGATAGTAGCATAGGTTACTCACCAAGGAGGAGCATGCTAGTTTTCTGTGTGATTTACCAAAACTAGATATTTCCACTACTCCCATAGAGCTTAAGTCTAAATCCCGAGTAGGCTTGTAAATTAACTCTCATTTAGGCCCAAAAGTCTAAACTCCTAAGATCCCTAGACAAAAGGGACCATCGCGTGCTTACTTTCTGAGGAATGGTCAAAAAGAAGGACCTTTTTACTAACCAAAGTCATCAAAATTATTTAAATAACAGACTTATCATGGAAAAGTTTAAGCCACTGGTAGAGATCCCTACACCAGCTGCCACCCCTTCCAGGGTTCATCTTTATGCAATAGAAGGAGGTAAGCCGGCCAGATCACTATTTTAGGAGCTGAGGGGCGAAGAATAAGGTGGTTTATCAGACTAATTTGTGCCCATTTGGAGGCAAAAGTGGGTTTAGGTACTCCTAACATGTTTCAATTTGGCATGTTCTTAATGGGGTTTTGGGGTTTTGGGGTTTTGGGG